TTGGGTCAGCTTGCTTGGGCCGAGATGCTTAATCAGCATCATCATCATCATCATCGCCATCCTTGTGAACAAGAGGTTCAGCTTGTGCCATGTCCGGAATGCAGGAAGGACTCTCAGTCATCTGTCATCTTGTTTAATATAGGCTCAGCACGTGGTAGACTAAGAGTTGCAGGCGAGCGCTTTCGCAGAGGGAAGACCCAAGTGTGAACCATGAGCTCAATACCCTTTAAATAAGGAATATATACCTTAAAACTATAGGGGCCTTAATATGATGATGATTTAAGGTATATATGCTTCCTGCAAGGTCGGTCTCTTGCAGCGGAAGTCTCGTAACCTTTGCCACCACAGAGGGCCAGCGCCAAGCTTAGCTCATCTTTACCTTGGGGATTTTTAAAGTGAGGGCCTGGGATCAGTTCAGGCCTCTGTGCTTGGAGTTTCAGGTTGCGGGCTCGGGCTTTAATAGAAGCCGAAGGTTGCACCGGCGCTCGTGACAAAGCAACTACATGTCCCGAGTTCTGCATATGGCTTCCCTTTGAGATATTCTGGCTCCGGTGCGAGTTTACTTCCAACCACCAAAATACGACATCCACTTTAGAGCAATCCCCATTTCTGCTTCATGCACCGGCAGTATGTGTGAGCAGAATGTTTGCCTCCACTTTTCTCAAGCGGGCTTCTTTGCCGAGGCTGTATTTGCTGGATGCTGCCGGAGACGATGCCCCACGCCTGGTGGAGGCGTGCTTTCCGAAACTGCTTGGTATGTTTGGTGCTTTTCGGGCTGCAAGCTCCTGGACGGCTTCACTGCTTCACCTTGTCGTCGCCAGGGCTTCTGCCCAGTTAAGGATGCAGGCTGTGTTTCCAATAGCCTAGAGGACGCTTCACAGATCTGTCAGCGCCGTTGGTTTCACGGCGCACACACACACACACTCACTGGGCGTGTGAACCAGTCGTAAACGGCTGAGTTGCTAAGACCATCCATCGACTGAGGCACGCCGTCACATCACCCGCAGTTCCCAAGGGCCGACAGCATCCGTACGGCAAGAGCACCATCAAGAACCCCAAACTATCCCACGTTCCGGATTTTGGGTGAGCAGCCCCCTACTGCCGCGAAGCCGGCAGGCCCTCAGGAGCAAAGATGTGGCCAGTGCCGCCTGCAGCGGGGACCACAGATTCAATCCACGCTAGCCTGAGTCATTGCTTGATCGCGAAGTTCCGGGGATGTTGTTCATGAATGTCTCGTGATGATTGCGCCATATTGCGGCACGACACATGCTCATCCATGGCAGCTCGCACTGACTACCAGGACGGCCTTCAGGCTTGCTTGCTTGTTTGCTTGCTTGCTGGACACGTCAGACACATCACATTGTTGCTGCATAAGCATCGCGGTCGGTTTGAAACCGCAGCATGACATTGTACCAAGCCCAGATGCTAATAATGGAATCCTGTTAGAAGCTGTCCGGGTCCGCTTGAGGTCCAAGCGGTATGGTCCTGGTCGCGCCTTGACTCGGACTATTGAGTCGGGTAGATTTTCGATGATGAACATACGGAGCTGCAAACTCAACGTGCGCTCCACGGGATTGTTGGCAATTTGATGTGATATTGTTCAACCGAAGAGCCCTTCAGCTTTGCGCATGCGATTGGTTACACAGCTAGAGACTGCACAGAACTTTGCCAGCCGATGAATAGAGCATGAGACTTGTGAATCGGCACCTGTTGGAGGTTGTCAAAGATCTGCGTTTCGAAGAGGGTTCTGAAAGTTGCACCGTTTGGCACACCTTTGCAGGTCACCTCCGCGGGCTCCATCTACAAGCTGAACAGTGGGAGGCCCAGGATCTCACCGGCGTGCAGTATGCTGACTTTGCTTTTTGAGTCCGAGTTGCATCTCGAAGTACATGGTACAACTTCCCCACTATGCTCCCGATATCTTGAAAGCGTCCCAGCCGCTATTGTAGTTCGTCAGATTGCTACATGTCCACCAAAACTCCTCAGAAATGTTTCAAGCCCTAGTGAAAGCTCGGCGAAAAGCACAAGGACCTTGATTGAAAGACTGGAACCCGATACCCGAGATCAGAGCACCCTTCGCAGAGGGAGGCCCAATTGTTGTGTCCCCGCATCTCTCAATCCCCTTCGAGACTCTTCGAGTCGAAGGGTTCCTGATGAAGACCACTTCATGGAAAGACTGGCACAGACGTTTGGAGGTTGCAGCAAGGGGGGTTGAGTCTGAGTGGAAGGAATGTCAGGGAATTAGCAGGAGTTCGTTTCAACACGAACACAATTGAACCTAAACTCAGAAAACCCCCCAGATCACAGCTATTTTCCAGTGTTCCCAGGTCCTGCTGGCGTCCAGGACTGCTGCTAGGCATGATGGAGCTTTGTTCGGAGCGCCCATTGCCAGAGCCCCATTGTCCGCTCTCATTCGAGGGGCTCTGGAATGGCCTCGCCGCCAAAGAGGAATGGACAGCTTGTCGTTCTAGAATCGCGTGCCTTGATCATCTTTGCTTCGACACGGTGTCGCCAAACCCTCCGTAGAACGTTAACACAAGATCTCGCTATAGGCCAGCTCCAATGGACTCCCAGGTCATTGGCAAGCTGGCTGGGGATGCATGACAACCGCATGAATAACGACTTGGAAGATCTCAAACAGATGACGGTTGCGGCCATCAGCCTGGGGTCAGTTTCGCGCACTTGTTGAACTGTTGACAGTCGTTCTCCAGCCGGAACATGAACGTGCCTTATGTCAGAAGGCAGCCCTGCACCCTGAAGCATGCTCGGAGCTTCAGCTCTGGAACCACGGAGCGCACTTAGAGACTTAGAGACCTGTGGTCCTGAGATGAAGTCAGAAGAGAACAGCAGCCACTACCGGGCAGGAGAAGGCCGCCCAGGGCAATGAGAAAGCCGCTGCTCTTATGGCTGCCTCTGCCAGGCCCTGAGATGCATACGGAGCACTAAAGAAGCATGGGGAAGCTTGGTGTACGGAGGAGCCACAAAGGTGGGCGAAGTAACGGGCTCAAGCTACTGTAGTCGGACTGCACAGAGATCCACGAGCTAAGGGAGAAGATGTTTAGAGCTGCACCAGTTTCTGGAGGAAGCTGCGAACGAGTCCGACAATGTGCGCTTAAGTCGGAGCTTGGTGGAACAGTCACCGGTCACCACGAAGAAGATGCGAAAGCAGCCCATAGGGACTTCAGGTTCCCGATTCCAGCCACCGGATACACCAGCCTGAAGACAGCACTGTGCAGAGCTTGTGTGCTCCATCTGCACCCTACAGTCCGACAGCCACTCGTTCTTTAGAAACTGAGATGCTGGCAGCCTTTGGCCGACTGGAGCAATTGCCGCTGCCGGTTCAGGCCGCACGGATTGCGTGAGGTTCGTCGTGTCTGGTCGGGCCCTTCGGGCAGTCGGTCCTGCGTTTAGATTCGGGCCAATTTAACTTTCAGCTGATGTGCGAGCGTGGCACTCCTTGCAGCCATCTCGGGCATGGTTCCTTTGAAAACTAAATGGGTTTAAGCATGCAGCTGGGCGTGATACTCGTTCATACCTGCTTCTCGAGTCCGCTCCGAAATTGAGAGTGCATTGCTGATCAGGGAGGCGCAGCTCCATCTAAAACCGACCCAGTTGAACCGCACCGTCCGTGCGCTGCTCAGATCACTCGCGCCGCATGCGGGAGGGAGCATTCCCTGCTCCTCAGTCTTCAAGGCCGAGTGCTTAGAGATTACACATTGGGGGCATTTAGTACCCGATGAGGATTTCAACTGCTTTTTCGGGTGTTCCCGAATATGCTTCGTGCCAAGAACAATTCTGCTTCCCAAGTAAGGGCTGCACCTTTCGGACGAGGTGTCAGTGTCACCTATCTATGTCACTTCCCTAAACTCCACATCTCAAGCTCCAAACTTCCATCCCCAAACCCTTCAAAGCTTTATTGTCTTATTGATTTCAGTGAGCACCTTGTAACGGAGGCCTCGTCTTCTCTTTCGGCGAGGGACGACGTGGGCAGCCGACGGCTGAGCTTGCCTCCCACCAACATAGCAACCACAGCGAGAACAACAGCAACGATAGCAACAGCAACGAGAAGAACAAGAACAGCAATGGTAGTACGCAAAAGTGCCCACAAAGGCCAGCCAAAAAAACGCAAGAAGCATCAGAACCAATTGCCTTGTCCTGACATGGCAAGCCCAGCTCCTTGGAGCCAGAGGCTCGAGAGATGGACTCAGACTTAGAGTCGCTCTTGGCGCTCGGAAACACCCAAATCCGGCACTGCTCCCTGCCGAGGCTTGGTTTGGGCAACGTGCGACTCCGAGCTGTTCTACTGTTGTTTTGATGCACGGTTCTTGTGCCGGTGACATATGTCATTCTATGCTACAGAGTACTGTAGAGTGTTAGGGCTGTCTAATCGTGCCGGGAGGGGTAGGCCACACTGTTATCAGCGGGTTCCACCACCAGCTGTTTGGTGTAAGGCTTTCTGATGATGCTGTAATGCTGTGAACTGGCAAGACTTCTCTCCAGTACGAGGTGCAGAGCGCATCGACACCCACCTGCTTGGAGGCTGGGTTCCGCTTGTACCTGACATTCGGGTTCATGCTTTGAGGCCCTTAACGTGCCTGAGAGCCTTCGCACGTAGGAAAGGTCCTCTTGAGAGCTCCGGCCGAAGCATGACTTCACCATTATCTTCAATCCCATAGGCCGCGCAGACGGCACACGAATAGAGGGCCTAGCATGCACGCCAAAGACAACGATGACAGACACTCTTGTGCAGCCGCTCCATGGCCTTGAGCTCTCTGCTTTTGTCGCCATGAAGCTGAATCAAGCAGGAGTTCGCCCAATCTGACAGGTCGCCACGTTGATTCTCATAATGTCAGCATATGCCAGCGGCTTAGGATATGTTTAACACTTCCCATCAAGTGCTCTGTCCTAGAATAAAAGTCTGAGAACCGACAACAGGAACTGTCCACGGTGAAGCAACCTGCGAGCCGCGCGTGATGTCATGAGAAGACGTGGATCCCACCATGTCCGCACCGGGTCCTGCAGCATGTGCTGCCTTTGCCGTGGGCTTGGCCCCAGACCTGAAGCAGCGAGTGGAGATCATGGCGGAGCACGTGTCCAAGAACGGGCCGGAGTTCGAGAACACTGTGCGGAGCAAGAACGCCCAGAATCCACAGTTCCAGTTCTTGGTGGGTGGGGAGGGCTCCGAGTATTACCAAGCCCTGCTGCAGTCCCACCCGGGGCAGTCTCAAGCAGCCGCCACCGGAGCTGTTCAGGGAGCCGCAGTGCCGGAGCCAACCATCTCCAGTCCGTCGGAAGTCGCTGCGCTGATGGGCCGATGGCCGACTCCCGAGGTGACTCCCCTGAGCCCAGATGCAGAAAGGCAGCTGGCCGAGATCCTCAACTCGCTGGAGCGGGTCTCCTCTCGATCCTACACTTGTCAAGATGTGTTTTTTTTGCGGATCGCTCCTCTTACAAGTTGCAGCCTGCGCGCTTGGTATAGAGATCCATCCCCTTCGGACCTAAGCCGTGTTCAAGAGGTGCCCTTGACACCGAGGAGAGGCCATTTCCCACGGGCGGACCTGGGTGCAGGCCTGTGCTTTTTGTCGGGAGAGGGGAGGGGCTCGCTATGTTTTACTCGGAGGACATGAAAACCGATTTGTGCTCCAAAGCTAACTGTTGAGTCCAGAAACCGGTTTTCCGGAACGAGAAGGAAGTCCTGGCAGCGAAATCCGAAGCTAGTCCCCGGCATTCATGCGAGTCGTCCGCTCCGAAATTTTGCCACGCGGCCTTGGGGAGTCAATGCAACAAGCGAACTGGCCGAAATCCAACTTGCTTCAGTCTCTGTGCATGCACACACCCACAGAAAGCTGTGCTAGTCTCCCAAAGATGCAGGTTACCTGTGTCATCCTGGAAGGGTTCAGGCTACCTTGTGTGCTCTTGGGTTTTTGTTGAGTTGTCTCTGGCAGGCCAATGTTGCCATGGCCCCGGCCATTGCTAGCAACATGATGAAGCGCGTTGCCTTCCTTTCAAGCTCTCTCCATCGACTTCACGTGCAACCGGGCTCTTCAGTGGGAGCGCCTTTCCAAGCTGTTCGTTTCAGGGTTGGCATGATTCGGGCACAACAACAGCACCGGGCAGGGTTGCTGTTTGGGAGTGGACCCGAGGCTGTATTTGGTGCATGAGATCTTCGTCAGCGAGCTGGCCCGCCAAGACGGGGCTCGGCCGCTGATTTCTGCCTTCAAGCCCTGCCTGGTGTGGATGGTGCGGCCCACCTTTCAGATCGCTCGGTCTTCGATGCCTGACAGCGAAGGCTGTGCTAAGATTAAGAAGCTCCTGGCTATGTGGCTGGACAAGGGCATCCTCACCATTCGAGAGACTGAAGAGATCACGGCACTAATGACAGCTTCGGACTTACCAGCACCACCACCTCAAACAGGCAGGCTGATGCAGCAGGTGGGAGCACAGATGGGTGTGTCCTTCTCGCCGGCACAGAGCAGTGGTCTGGTCGGCAGCATTCTCGGTGCACTGCAACAGGTTCCGCAACACGTGCCCCAGCAGCTGCCCAACCAGCAGGGAATGCAGCCACAGCCGGGTTTTCAAAACTTTCCTCTGCAGGCAGCCCAGCAGATGCAGCATGCGCAGGCAGTTCCTCAGCAGATGCCGACGCCGATGCTGCAACAGCACATGGCGCCGATCCCTGGGCACATCCCGAAACCACCAGCGCCGCTGCCAGCACCATCACCTGCTTTAGCACAAGAAGCTGCTTTACGGCCAGTTCAGCAAGGGCAGGGCGGACAGGGTCCACCAGGTATGCAGCTCGCCCTTGCATCTGGTTCCTTGGCTCTGAGTGGCCAGAACTCTGAGACGCCGGAGTCCGTGCCTGTGGGGGTCATGTCCTCCATGCTGAAGCAGGTCTCGCGTCGCGGTAAGGATCTTCATGCTGCTTTCGTGCCATATCGACCACTGGATCCATTCTACACGCCGCAGACGCTGCCCCTGACATCGCCCCCTTCAGGTCGACTGCTGGATAGGTTGGCCCAGTTCTATCGAGTCGCCCCTTTGCTGCGCCATAGCCTACACACCCCCGCTGTCTTTTGTCCTGATGTTTCGGGTATCCTTGACATTTGGCTTTCAGGGGCTTGACGGCTCAAGGCAGAACCCTCAAACTTGGCAATTTCCCGTGCTGACACCACGAAGCTCCCGCACTCTCTGACTCTAAACTTTTCTAAACTCAACAGATAATCGAAAAGCCTTTCACGCGGCAGGGTGCCAGGAAGACTTCTGCTCCCTCACCCCCTGCAGCCCTCCACCAGCTTTCAGGTTGGCGATTCTGCCAAGGTGCCAGAAAGGAGCCGGTCCCCACAGCGCGCCGGCGGCGCGGCTGTGCCACCGCCACCGCTGGATTGAGTTCTGCCATGCTGCTTCCGCGCGATATTGGAATTGGCAGAAAAGTCCACCATAGAGGAGTGCTTTTTTGGTACGCGGCCTAGGGGAGGGGCAGGTGAACGACAGAACACTTCAAAGCATGCGGTCCCAGCGTGCTGCACCTACTGTTTCGGGCGCGCAGGGTTCGGAATGTTGCTGATGCCTAGAAGTTCGGCCTCGCAAATCCCCGAGATCCCTAACTTTATTCAGGGTTCAGGCCCCAAACCCTGAATCGATTCTTCTCTGAACCGGCTGCAGGCTCTTGCCCACCTGCAAGCCTCGGACATCGCTGCGGGAAGCCGGGCGCTGGCATTCAAGGGTACAGGGTTATGCTTCGGGTGTTCGGGAGGTTTGGGTGTTTGCTCACAAAAGACGCATCATTCACCAAGTCTTCCATCTTATGCCAACAGCAACGATGCCGTCGTTGGTTTTGCTGCTGATGATGCTGGTCACTGTAACATGATGACGACGGGACGCCTGCGGATGCGACGGCGACGACGACGACAACCATGAAAAGGGTCCACAGCCATGACAACAGTCTTGCCAGGACTGGCGCACATAATAATCCCGTCCGCAAGCCTCACGTTCTTGCAGGTCCCGGATGCTCCAAGTCGATGTGTTGAATAGACCCCAAATGTGCGTCTGCGATCTGGCAAAGCCGAAGTATCACCGGTCCTCCAGGTGCTCACAGCTGCACGGTGACCACATTCGGCATGCCAGCCTGAGTTTGACCATCTGTCGGGTCATCGATTCCTTCTTTGCTGGCTCTTGATCGACCTTTGCTCACAGTTACTGAAAAAACAAAGCTGCGAAGGCCTAAACTTATCGAAAGACCACTGGCAATGGAAGAGCGAAGCTCGAGCACCTGATACCGAAGCCCTAAACCCTCAACTTCCTAAACTGAGTGCCAGCTCCTGGCTCCTGCCAGGCAATGTCTTCACTTGGGGTGACAACCGGGCGGGCCAGCGCACCTGCCACGCTTTCCTTCTAGCCGCTCAGGGCTTCCGTGAGATGCAGGGATCCTCTCCCCCTGGACCTAGCAATGGTAATTGTAGTGGTAATGATAACAGTAATCATCATCATAATAATAATAATAATCGCAATAATGAAAATAAGAAGAAGAAGAGCAACAATCATCATAATAGCAATAACAAACAATAATAGCTGGGCCCCGAGACTCGAAACCGTGCCCAAAACCCCCAAGCAAGCGCCGGGCAAGGCTGGGAGACGGCACGCAAATTGGCCGAGACGTTCCTGGCCTTGTGGGCAGCTTGTATGAATCCGGATTTAAATCGGGGGGTCCGGTGGTTTTTGAGTTGCGGTTTGGTGGGTTTTAGGGTTTAGGGGTTGGCAGATCGGGTGTTGTGGGTGAGGAGGTTTTGGATTCGTCTTGGGTAGGTTTTCGTCGGTGCGTGATAGGTCTGCCTTAGTTAGTCCTGAAGCCGAAATCATATCTCCGAGGTGACATACCGGGAGCGACGGCTGTGGCTGCGGCAGAGGCGCAACTGGAACTGCCCAGTGTATGCCCAAGAAGCTCCGATGCTAGCCTGCACTGCGACATTTACAATTGTCACGAGTACAGCAATGCAGCATGTTCTTGCAGAGAGTTAGAGATCAAGCACGGGAGGAGCAGCGCCCAACCCCCCGTTTTGAAACTGTGGTCAGGCTTCTGCAGTGCTGGCGAAGAATGGCAGCTTGTGGGCATGGGGGCCAGGGGCCCAAACAGGGTGCAGCTGGCACGCTGGAGGATTGAATTGCAAAATGTGGATGTTGTGGGTCCTGGCGGTTGGGAGTTGGGAGGGCAATAAAGCAAATCGAGACTACTTCTCACGAAATGGAGAACTCTTCAGCACAGCACCATATACATCACCACCATTGAAACCACCACCGCCACCACCACCACCGCCACCACCATCGTCATGTAGCACACGCTGGAGTTTCATTCGGCCGACGGAAAGCCGTAACTCGTCTGTGAGCAGGGTTCATGGCTTTAAGGTGGAGGCTTTGCTGTTTCACGTGCGCTCAGCAGCCACACAGCTGCCTGGCAAGGTTTGCTGGAATTCACCAACCACAGCACGTTGCCTGCCTCAGTGTTGAAGACGCGTCAACGGAGTTCACACTTGGATCAGTCGGAGACTTGTGGGCTGTGTGGGCTTGGAGGGAACTGCAGCGGCTTTAGCCGATCTGGAAGTTGGAATATGAGCGGTCGTTGATGCAAAACAAGAGAGATCACATCTCTTGTCACTCCAAGACCCGAGTTCGTTCAATCGAAAAGGGCAGGCAAAGGCAGAAAAGCCAGAAGCTTCTGAGACAGATTTCGGAAGCTTCCCATGAGATCGAATTCACAAACCTGGCATGCTCACAGCACATTGTCAGACGAATGGGGATGTTAATCTGACTTGCGAGCAATCAGCAGAAATGGGAAGCACCATGATGTCGTTCCCACACAGTCCTGACAGAAACAGGTTTTCCTGGGCCACCGCTCGGCGAGGAGTCTGGCGCTGTCGAGCCAGGCATGAATCATTCTGGGATCGGGCTTTGGGGTTTCAAGGCTGAGGGTTCCGGATCGAGGGGAAGGCGATGACGGTGGGAACAACGAAGGTTCGACAGCTGCAGATCAGGAGGGCTGGAGGATGAGGAAGACAACTTCCTGGAGCAGCGACAGCATTACTTACGAATCGTTTGCCAGCCTGACTTGCAGATGGTTTCTCTAAATATTTGACCTGGTTGAACCTAGATCTCGCTCCAGAATGGCTATATTCGCGTCCTTCTGCGCGGGGAGGGCGGCCTCAAGCTCGCAGGTGCTTTGCTGCTGCACCGAGTCTGGCGAGCTGCTGATGGCCGGGCGCCCGGAGTGGACCTTTGTTCAGTCAAAGGAAGTGCTTAAAATAGCACAACAAACCTCCGTTTCAGATGCAGCACTGTGACTTCGAAGGCAAGATGTAGGAAAAGCTCTTGGACAACAGCCTTGTATGTGCCAATGAGTCAAGGGGCGGCCACCAGAGCGATTCATCGAACCTTCAGCCCAGACCGTAGCCAAGTGCTAGAAATTCATGCGCTTGTTCGGTGGTTTGTCTAGTTTTTTCTCTCGGCGCAATCCCAGCAACTTGCGTGCTGGGATGCAGCTTCTTGAAGAACAAACTTGCTGAAAAGATTATGATGCCCAATATTAGTTTCATGGCAGGAACTATCCGAATCTGCGAGTGATGGCGGAAGAGCAGAACCCAAGGTGAATCTCGCAAACGCAGCACCTGGAGCCTCCAGCCATCAACTGTTCGAGGAGGCGGGCTCGAGTTCGAATTCAATACCGAGGATAACCAGAGCAAGTGAAAAGATGCTGTTCTTGTAACGGCTACAGCAGCTGTTGTAGAGACCAGTCAAAGATGCCAGTCAAAATAGTGATATGCGATGATACGAGTGAGAATGAACCGACCATCCCAGGATAGCGCTAAGGACAATCACTGTCATCAGAATGAGCCTCATACGGATCCTCCGCATCGTTGTGATCGGTGGTACACATCTAGGGATGTTATACTTCAGAAAACTCTCAACTCAAAGCCCAGATCCTTCATGTGCTGCCAACTGTGCAGTTCCGAGAGATGCAGCCCTACATCCTACTTAGATACCTCCTTTTGCATCGGAGGCTTGGCTTGCTCATGATGGCGTAAGGTTTGCGGCGGTGCGCAGCCCAGCGACTTTCGGCATTTCTTTGGGGTTTTTTCTCACCCCAGAGGCTGAAGTTCTTGAAGGAGTGGACTCGCGCTCGGCTCGATGAGTGCTTCCCTAGCCCTGCAAGGCGTCCTCCAGCTGTGTCGTGGCGCTGTGCCAGGACGAGGTGCGAGTTATTCGGTTCTGTGCTTCTGGCTTGAGCTGCGGGCTTCCATTGCCGAAGGTTCGGAAGGGCGGAGGATACTGAGTGACTTGCGGCTTAGGCAGATGGGAGATGAATTCGCTGCGTGGACTCGACATGAGTTCAGAAATTCAGAGGGCGAAACCAACCAGCTCTGCCCAGCTTGAAGACCTCTCGCCATTGCTCCGAGTTCAGATGCCAACCGGATCGCCCTCCAAGTATCTCCAAGTCCTGCGCAAGGGCACAACACCAGAACCTGGCTGAAGGCTGCCTCACTGCGATATTTGTTACTTGTACCAACTTCATATCAACTAAGATGTCATGTTCACTTGTATTCACTATCTGTTTGTCTGTCTATCTATCTATCTATCTATCTACCTAGCTATCTATCTATCTGTCTATGTACCTATCTATCTATCTATCTATCTACCTATCTATCTAGCTATCTATCTACCTATCTGTCTATCTATCTATCTATCTGTGTATATATATATAATATAGATAGATAGATAGATAGATAGATAGATAGACAGACAGACAGATAGATAGACAGATAGATAGATAGATATATTATGTCCAACTATTTGTCTATATGTCTGTTTACTGTGCAGATGTATACATGTGTATATAATATATGCATATAGACATGTGTGTTGTTGTATGCCATGCTAGTATTTGCCACGCTCGGTCTCTCTCCTTCCTTCCCCCTCTCTCTCTCCCCCTCTCTGCGTGTCTATCTATCTGTCCATCCATCTGTCTGTCTATCAACCTGTCCGTCCATCTCTCCACCTATCCATCTATCTATCCATCCATCTGTCTACATTTGCTTCATGACTTACTTATGCCAATTCTATTAGCTGCCAGGTGCCGGAGCGTCCCAAAGTGCCGAGCTCGACGCCCGCGAGACCGGCGCCAGAAGCCTTGCCTGGAGGCTCGCGAGCTTGGGCCAGGGGCTTTGAGGGTTTAGGAGCGTTTAGGATTGAGGCTTCAGGGTTTGAGTATAAGAGTGCTATATACAAGGGTACTTTACGGGAACTGTAAAGGGGTACTTGTACGATAGGTTTTCAGGTTTGGGATTCAGGTTTGGGGGCATAGAAGTCGAGTCTTGCGCTCATTGGGCTGTGGATTTTCA